AAAAAAAAAAAAAATAACGAAAAAAAAAAAAAAAAAAAGAATAAACAACAATAGCAAGGAAGACAGCAGCCTAGAGTTTTCTCTTGTCGCTGAGAACTTTAATGAAAATAAATATTGTATGAACTTGCAGGGTGTGCATCAGACCTGATTGATGATGGCGGTCGGGATCCTGTCCGAGGGTGGCAAGACACATTACCCGGACCACCCGTTGCTCTGGTTTCGTTATGTGGATAAGAGAGAAAGGATAGATATAAAGGAGAGCACGAAAACTAAAGAGAGAGGATCCTAGTTAGTTCGTCCATTAGTGGAGCATTTGTAATTTTACGTATTTAATGGATTGCCAAATTGAAGAATACATCTAATTAACCCATTAGCACCGAAGCCTCCGTTTTTCCCCTACGTATACTTGGTGACGATCGGATCGAAGCTTTTTTGAAAATAAAAATTCAAATAAGATTTCAGATTTAAGGATACATCGAAAATGCATATATTTCATTTAAAAAAAGACACGCTCGATCGGCTCTATCTTCGGATTAAATACGAAAGAGGTAAAGAAAAAAAATTTTATCTCGATACCGTGATCTCCAATGAAATCATGAATATGATACTGCAACGATTATTACGCAATATTTAAGAGAGCCATTTCGGCATGGCTTTACGATCTTTAATCTCATTCCCTTAATCCATATATAGAACACAGTGGAGACACCTCGCAAAATCACCCTTGGATTCTGTTTCGTCGATACACCCCCCAGACCCTGGACCACTAGCTTGAATATCGAATAATCAAAGATCGTCCATAGGAGGGGATGATGATTGTCGGTACGATTAAGGTAAAATTATTTTTCAAAAATTTCTATAAAATATATTTACTCGTACTGGTAAGCAGATAAGGCTATTATTTTAATATTTATTTTTTCCTATCCAGATAATACCGAACCCAGCCGCCTACCAGGGATCCTCTTCTTTTATATAATAAAACAAGACACGTATATCTACGCGTTAAACCATTGAATCCAGCGATAAAATGCGTTCCTGGACGTTTGGCATGCAGAGCCCTCGTAAACTTGATCCGTTCAGAGTTTTATTATTATTTCCCACGCGCAATATCGCCGGCTCAGGCAGGACCAGTCGTTAAATTAGCTAAGACTGCCCTTTTAACGTGTATATACGTACCCCTTTCGAATTAGGGCGCGAGAGGTGTGAGATTTGATTAAAGATAAAAATTTGGCAGTGTCTCGCGATGGATATCAATATTAAAATTATTTATATTCGACGATTCGATAAACGATATCGAACGATTATATAATTTTGACAATGAAGCAGTTTCGACGTCTCTTCGAAATTATTCTGTATGCTTCGGCTTTGACGGTGAAAGATATCATAACGAAATGGGCGTTAGATGATGCACCCTTGGGAACCCATAGTAACACCGTTTATCCATTGAGAACCCTATTCCCTTGTCGGGCACCACCAACCCCCTACGAGTCCATCCTGACTTGCAGGGGGTAGGGCTGTCGCATTATACTAGTTATATTTTATTCCTCCTGCGACACGTAAGAGCTAATATCGTGGGCTATGCATATTTATACCACATTAAAAATCAGCCTCCCTTAAAATGCATAGGCCGCTGCATAGCTGAACCCTCTGGTGAATCTTTTGCAAATTATAACCTTTGCCTCTTTGGCATAGGGTGTCGAAAATAATTTTAATGAGCGTAAATTTTTCGTCCGATTAGATTTTACCATTTAATATATAATATTTTTGTAAAAAAAATTGCACGGCGCGTGGTGTAAAGTATTCATGAATTCGAAAATTTTCAATCTCTCAGTGTTCACCTGGAAATGCATTTTTGGCTGTTATCATGGAAGTTTCTCGAGGAGTGCCAATAACGAGCTACATTTAGCCTGGAAGCAGTCACTTATTTATCCCCAAGGAATAAGGAATGAATTTCACCATTCGCTCGTACCCCATGGGATAGACTTTGAAAGCAATACTTGGTACGCGTTGCGAGTCTCAAATCCCATCGCATATGTGACTTTCAGCCCCTGTTTATTGGGGTGGTTTTGCGGATTTTCGACAGACCTCGATATCGATAACGTTCGCTGTGGGCGCGTGGGCGAATGCTGAATTTTGGATAATTGAGGTAAAAGAAAAAAGGAGAAAATACTCAAAGGGTTGATTATCTGAGCTGTTACCAGGCGACGCAGAGACAAAGAAGAAAAAGGACGGAGAGAATGGGAAAGATGGGGAAAATGGCAGATACAGGAAAAGATCGTATCCCATCGACGGAAAGGTCGTATCCCATAAAATTCCGGGAGTAGTAATCGAAAGGACCCTTCAAGCCTAGAAACGAGCAGTTACCTGGGGGTAGTTAAGTTAAACGCCAGTTAGCAGACGTTAACAGCCGGCGCTATGGGTTCTATTCTGTGGACGATTGCAATTTTAATCGCCTCTTCATTATGATTAAATTTAAATCGGCTGTATGCAGTCTAATAAAGTTCAATCGGATGGGCGAAACAGAAAATGTGAATACGCGGATTAAACTGCGTGTAATTAAAAGTGCAAAAGACTGGATAGGGATGGCAGAGTGTCCAAATCCGTAATTAATGCAGAGACATAAAGAGCTTTTGTGTCACTAACGGCGTTTGATGGCGATGACCTTTCACCTTTTACCAACGTCCCGGTGAATTCATGAAAAAAAAAAAAAAAAAAAAAAAAAAAAAAAATTAAACTGCGTGTAATTAAAAGTGCAAAAGACTGGATAGGGATGGCAGAGTGTCCAAATCCGTAATTAATGCAGAGACATAAAGAGCTTTTGTGTCACTAACGGCGTTTGATGGCGATGACCTTTCACCTTTTACCAACGTCCCGGTGAATTCATAAAAAAAAAAAAAAAAAAAGAAAGAAAACGACCAAAATAATTTTTTAGGAATTATAGAAATTCTCATAATTAATTATAACTGGTAATTATTCGGACTCTAATTTCAAGTCAATTATTGTAATACGGATCGTTCAATCGGATTCAACAGAATTCAATAACGCGGTCCATAAATTTTTGGAAGAAGCACAGATTCTTTCTGCGACGCTGGTAACAGTAGCCATGTTAACATCAGTTGGAATGAAAAATTTATGAAATTCCTATTAATCAATGAGTAATTCAATGGTAGAATTCGTTTGGAAGACGTTGATAAAGGTCGGATAGGATTTATTTATTTTGGTTTATTTTTAAAAGTCATACGTTTTTGACCAACCCGACCTTTGCTTACAGCCCCCTGCGCCGAACCTCCTTCCCGTCGCCACCACCATCCGAAATATTCATGGCAGCGCCATAGTAAGTCAAGAAGTCTTTGATAGCGACGCTCGATAGCACAGCGACGCTCAGCGCCGGCGCCTTCCTCGCAGCCCCCATTGGTGACTGAAATCCTCTGCGCGTCTACTCGCCACACCGTTCCCTTGGAAACGCTCCGTTCGCCTCGATATCAGCCCTCGTCCACGCAAAACCTCTTTCAATTAAGGATACCAGTCCACCCTCTTCTACTTTTGTCCACGTTTCTACCCACTTTTATCCTCTCCGCCATATCCGTCCTACCTTGCGTCCTTCGTTACACTCAAAATTTAATGTACCACCTGAAGGATCATAAGAAATGCGGACAGAGAAAAATTTTCAATTCCTAATGTCACCGTTGAATTTATATTTTTAATGGATTTTAAGATACTGTATAACAATCAATTGATCGAATCCAACGGGATTAGAATTTTTTATATCTAGTGGATTATTTTGAAAAATATTTTTTTTTAAAACTTACTAATAATTTATCTTCGTTTTTTTTTTTGTTTTGGTGGGGTTTTATGAACGTTTAATTTAATATGTATGGTGTATCGTGAATAACTCTTTATAGAGGTATCATGAGGATTCGCATTGTCAGTTGTATTCGCAAGTGCGCGAGACTATTTGATATGCAGAGGGCGACACGGCTTGACTGACGCTTCAAGTTGCGAATAAAAATTTCATGAAATTCTATTAGCTCCGTTTTTCTCGACGTGCCCCGAAGACTTAAAAAAAAACGCCGGTGGCTGACGGGGCTGAGGGAGAGAAAAAGGTTTTCGTAAAACGGACCGTCAGAATTGTTGTGGCTTACGAATTCACATTTTCTTATATCTACGTATGTGCCTCGGAGGATTGAAATAAAAATTCGAAATTTCACTGTAAGACTACAGCCAACAATATTTCTATAAAACTTGTACAGCAATTATTATACTTGTTATGATAATATGAAATTCATATTTCCCGCCATATTATAAATATCATATTACAACACATCCCGTCTTGAAAATACCACAACATGAAATCTCACAGTCTCCCAATAGAGTATAAATTAAATAATTCTTAATACAGTCATAAAAATTCGTTCGAATCGATCTCTCAGTATAACAATTGCAATTATTTCGTATCCTCCGGTGCTTCACGAGCATCCAAAAATTCGAATCGTTCGACTAATCTCAAAATTGTTTCGTATATTTGTACAGTACGTTAAAAAGGTTTGTTTCTCCTTTCCAGGGGATCAGACACGAAGTTATCCGTCAAAGAAGAGAAATCAGTAAAGCAAAATTACGCAACGGTATGTTGCGGTCTTGCGGTGGCGATACAGCAGCCACGAGACCCAGGAAAATTCAAGCCCCCATAGAGCGAGGGCTTAGCAACTCCAAGTTTCGGTTTAATCCGAAAAGCCACATTAGGCCCAAGTAATTGATTCTGAGACAGCTTTGATACAACTGTAATCCCTAGAACGACATTACCATATCGCCAAGATGGCGAAAAGTACGCATAGTTAACTAATGCTCAATGAGTTTCGATTAACCTTCAAATTTTTACGTTAACGTCGTCCCTAGCACTAACCTATCGATACCCCAACGCAATAAGTCATTCGGATCATACGTCAATGAGTTCCAAGAGAAATCTCGAAAGAAAAACTTACCTGAACTCTACTCTCCGTAAGTCCAATTCTCATGGCGATCTCTTCCCTGAGGAAGATGTCCGGGTAGTGGGTTTTACTGAAACACCTTTCCAGTTCGTTAAGCTGTGCCGGTGTGAATCGTGTCCGATGTCGCTTCTGTTTAGCCGGTTTGTCATCACCCTGACCAATCGCGCCTGCACTCCCTTTAACCAAGAAAAGTCACGTCAAAAGTAAAAACAAGAACCTTCGATCAAGTCAAAAGAAAAAGAACAATAAAATCGAAGGTAATTAACATAAGACAATTTCAATGATAAAAAATCAATCTAGTGACAAGTCGAATGTAACGAGCCAAACGACGTCAAACTGCAGTACTAAAATGAAAGAAAGATTCAATTACCGACCTATAATACAAATGACTTCTGATTTCAGTATCGACCGAGCAATTAAATATCAATAATTAATCTAATAATTAAAACCTACCGGTGCCAGGCATGGTCATGATCAATTCCTGATGAATCGTGAGTCCTCCGCCGCCGGATAAACCACTTCCTAAATTCACCCCCAGGACTCCGTCCAATTTCTCGTGTCGCTTCAGATCGTGCGCATGAAGGTCCTTCGCCCCTGTCAATATAAAGATACCTAACCTTTTTATATTATTCTTTATATACAGCACACGTATCCCCTTTATTCCCTGTTCCCTGTGTCTCTCCTGAGTATCAGGACACTCGTTCCCGACGGTCTATGCAGTTTAAATTTGTATAGGAGCAGAAGCTGGACAACCGGTGGCGCGGGGCACACGGACCACTTAGCACGAAGGTGCGAGAATCGTCACCGGCCTCCGCTTCTAGGCAAGCAAATACATATCTGCGAGGATTGAGCGCGTGTGCACCGATGCTGTTACATTAAAGTGCGTCGCGACGCTGTTACACATACTGTTCCTATTACGTGTGTATGTGTGTGGTTACAGGGAGGTGCAGATTTGAGACGATATCGCCAGGACGCTCCGCAAAGTTTTGTCAAAGGCAGTTACGTAATGAACTACATATTTTTTGAGGTTACATGCCACAGACTGTACGCCAGGATACGATTGCCTTTACGTTAACGCAGTTGTCGTTTCTTGCGGTGAGCATTAATTCGACCTTTTCAATGTAATTATTGGTAGAAAATTTTGAGGTTACGTATGATCGACATTTACAAGAGAATTATTTCCATGATTCCTTTAATTCCGGACCACCGTGAACGTTGGAGTTCACTCAATAGAAGGATATTGTATGAATGAACTTTACGACTCGTCTTTATTTCCGTTTTATTTTCCCAGCTTCTGATGGTTTTATTTCGATTTTATTGGAAGAGGCACCGAACGTTTACAAGGCCTCCCGGAAATTCGGCAGGTCTCTTTGATCTACTGGTCCAGCGTGAGGTTCATCTTTTTTTTTTCTTTTTTAATTTTGAATGCTGTTACGGACTACGAGCTTTGGTCTATGTAGTAGGTATTCATCGGCATCGCTTCTTTTTTTTTCCTTTTATTTTTTTCTCTTTCACAAATTTTTCTTATGTCTCTCGCAGTAGCACTCGGAAGCAACTTTGAGTCTGTATCGTGTGTGCTTTTGGGCCTCGACTCAAATAAAAGAACCACCGACAAAACGTGCTCGTTCAGTGCGCTTGTTTAAGCAGTCACCACGAATGCTAATTAGTAAAGGATCTTGAGGTCACGTTATTACCATTGTATACATATATTCCATGGACCATCCCCTTACCCATATGTATTTTGTTTTCTTACTTCCTTCTTTTTCACGTTAACCATCTCATTGAATACTCCGTCCGTCGGACTTTAATTACACTGACAGACTACGTGATCCATAAATAATTTCATATACCACAACGTAAGTAGATGACTGATACAACACTATCAGTTCAATATTGTTTAATAATTAAAAAAAAATTTCTTAAATATTTCTTAAATAATTTGTCTATATCCGCGGTAATGTAGGAATCTACTAATTTTCTTATCATTTTTCTATAAAACTACATCCAACCAAAGCTTGCGATGAATTATTAGGCGCGTACCTTCGGAATAATTTAGACTGACATGAAGTACTTAGAAATATTATTGGTCAAATTTGTCACGTCAATTTATGAATTGGTATTAACCACAGTGTGTTTATTGACTATTAAATTCTTGTTAATTTTAATGCTACTCATTTTAAATACTATTTTCTCACGGACATTCAAATTCGATACACCCATTGATGAATAGCCCGTTTACACGGAGTGGGACAGGTACATCCCAACTCACTAATTCGTTCCTTAACTTCTCGCCTAATTTAATTTGAACTAAGGTAATTATGGCAATCAGACCCGAGAGGCTGTTTCCATTGAAGGGAGAACCCAAACAAAAACGACACGTGTTCTGTCAATTGAATTTTTTTCATGCCCCCCCCCCCCCTTTTTTTTGAAATATCTTGTCTCGTGTAGTGTTTTGCAAAATTTCTATATCTCCATACATTCACGAAACGCATAGTATTTTATTGGTCATTTTTAATCTTCATATCCGTCCAACACGTGCATTGCCCTATGGTACAAGATTTCTGGGACTGGATTTTTGGTAAAACAAACAAAATCGATAACGTGCTGTCAGAAAAAAGGAAAGAAAAAAAAAATCTGATGCAAACCAGTGATTTAATCTCACACACTCACTCTTTTCATCCCATGAATTTCGATGGATTTAGATGATGGATGTTTTCCCAGTTACATTTCACGATTCAATTTTCACCTTTTTTTTCATTTCGTTTTCCCGTGTATTATCATCGGCTTCGATCTTCGACATCAATTTTGATCAATTTATATGGGCATTTGTCACGGTATGGCACTGTTACGCTTTCTGTTAGTTATTTGAGGTATACTATTTTTGTAATATTTCTTATTATTATTATTTTATATAAACTATAGACTATTGGTATTATCGTGAACAGACTTTAGTTTTAACTGTCGGCTCTTTGTCCTAATGCTAATTATTATTTCGATGACACTCTAAATTTTACCATCTTTTTATTTCTATATAAACGCGAGTACGTTGTTTTTGGTTATTGCATTGACAGTAGTAACTTTTGATTTTAGTATGGCTACTCTGGCGAGTACGTAAGGAGATTTGAATGCGTGCAAATACATGCGTCGCTAGCATCTACTTATTTATCAAGTCACAGACGTTCTCCAAATATCATTTAAATGCATAACCAATAAATTATTTCCAATCTTTCCATATACACCCAGGTAAGAAAACAAAGATCTGTATCGGTGCTTAAAAATTGGAGTGAGAGCTGTCAAGCTATGAAAAGTATCCCAATTACCCCATAGTATAAAAATTCAATCTACAATTTTCTTTTAATTTAATTCAATAAATAAATTCCAATCGAAACAACGCTCCAATACCTTATCAAGCCAATAATCACAATAATCCACCTACAAGAATTCTAGCTCATCCGACAAAATTCGACGAAATCACTGCCGTCGCACGCCATACCTCAAACTCCATATAAAAAACAAGTACCAAGAAAAAAAAGAAAAAAAAAATCAAAAACTTCAACGATCAACCTTGATTTAAAAAAAAAATGAGTTACAAAATTAATTAATCTCGATTTACCTCGATTTCAAAATTTCATTATCCCTAAAAAGTAACCCTCGAATTTCATTCAGGGACAAGACCGTCCGAAAATTTTTTGTCAAAAAATTTATTCGCTATCCCCAAACGACCCCCTTTCCCCGCCCCCTCACACACGAAAAAAAAAAAACCCAAAAACAGTCACTATCAAATACTTACCGGAAATCCCATGTACGGATCCGCCGGCAGAGATATTGTTGAGCATGCCTCCCCAGGAGCAAAACTCCTGCACACCTCGTGTACCTCTATGGTCAATTTTCACACTTTTATCTCCAGGCACCGAACAGTCTATCGAATTCCTCGCGATCTCCAGGTAACGTCGGTACGACGAGGATTTACACCCCGTTACCGAGAAAACGGCCCGTGCCTTTGGAAGGCAAACAGCGAACTGTTCGGCTGCCATATCCAAACTCCCCACCATTTGCAACTCTGTCTCTCTCTCTCTTCACTCCACCCTGCCTCTACTCGCACCATAATTCCATCTCACTTCTGCACCCTCTTCGGCAACTTTTCTCCTCCTTCTCCCACTCGTTGCGTCCGCCACTGACTATAGTTCCCACTCCGTCTGACAGTATGGCTACCTTTATCGCTCCCGCTGGATATATACATATATATTTACATATATACGTATATATACCTTAGCTGGATGGCACATAGGCCGGCATTCTACTCCCCCGTATGGAGCTCGTGGGCGTGATATTAAATCGCTCCTATCCTTCAGCTTCAGCGCTCACCAGGAGCGTAGCTATTCGAGTGGACTGTTTTCCATAGCGACTATATTATACCCGCGTAAATACCGAGCGTTTTCTGCAAAATGGATGATACGCTTCTTTTTGCTTCGTCAAAGGGAACCTCGTACCCTCCCCCCTCGCTCACCTCCCTCCCTTCTAAAAGAAAAACTCAAGAAATTACATTCTTGAATTTCGAGGGCACGAGAGGAAGACAGAGGGATTGAAGATCTTTTTTTTTTTGGATATTTTATTTTACGTTCTTCGTACACACAATTGTCAATTATTCCACGCTATACATATATTTATACGTAATCCACTTGTCATAAGAATTTCATGAATGGAGCCGGCTAAAAAAAATGAGATCATTTAAAAAGGTAAGAATTTGCTAAAAAAAAAAAAAGAACCGTGACTGGAAGTCAAAAATAATAATACTCGAGGAGAGTAATATCGTAAAGAAGAAAGGCTAGACTACCGTTAAAAATTAAAGGGGAGCAATTATTTGTACGTGTAACCAATAGCACGTAATTTTATTAAAAAAATTTTTAATTAACATTCACGTCATACAAATCATAATTGTCATATCGAATTAAGGAATTTTTTTTGAAAATATTAATCAGCAATATTCCTACAGCAGATGCCGTACGATTGCAATGACTACGCCGAGATGCTTGTGCAGTCATAAAGCTGCGCCGCTATCCAGGAAGACGGGAAGAAAAGGCATCAAGCAGTCAGCGAGCAACCGGCAAGCAACCAGCAAGCAACCAGGGTTGTCCACATCCAAGGGAAACCCAGCTATCTCTTCGTTGCGGTAGGCGTAACCGCTGCGGATGCCGCTCCAATGAGCGGATAGCCCGCCTCCGGATACCCCACTAGATTCACCAGCGGAGATTTATTGAAATTTTATTTTTATGGACGGTGGAGCACGGGCTCGTCGTAGGAGGGTTGCGACGTGGGACGCCAGAGGGTATAGAGGATGGCGCAGGGATCCTGTACCGTATAGCGATACCAGTAGCGGCGGTAGAAGTAGAAGTAGAAGAGGAAGAGGAGAAGGGAGAAGTGCGAGGGCGATGAGGATAGAAAAGGGAAAACAACGACGGTCGAAGGTACCGAGGAACGTACCGAAGTTAAGAGTGGAAAGAAATCTAGGAACGATGAGAACGGGGTGTTCTCGACCCTCTCCCAGGATACGATAGAACGTAGAGCACGAGGAGCTATGAAGGAGAGATTTTTTATTCTTTTTTTCGTTCCTCCTCTCGTTCCTCTCTCCTCTTCTTTTTCATACTCGTTTTATTCCCGACGTACTTTTAATTCAATAGCTACCATTTTGCACGACCTCCGCCATTCTTGATGATACTGTCTTTTTATTGCGATAGAGATAAGAAACGAGAGCGGAGACTTGATTAATGAAGATTTTAATATATAGTTACTCTTACTTTTTTTCTTTGTATTTTTATACTTCATTGATATGGTTGATTGGGTGGTGGTATACGAAAAAGTCTTTTTTGGTTTCATAATGCGAAATGGCATAGCATAGATTAATTCGTGTAAAGGAATTTTTTTTTCCTATGAGGAGAGCAGGGTCGACAGGACCAAAATGGCTAGAAAGTAAAAGAAATTTAATAAATACGAGCTTCCCTGGGAGGACAGCCATTTAGATATTTTTTGGCTAATTTGAAAATAATTTAAAACTGCGCACGGGAACGGTTAGCTGTCAGGGGGTTCAGCTGAATGTGGGTGTATAGGGTGTACAAGAAGAAGTGACAAGTGGGTCCTTTGATCATGCGAAAAATACGCTGGTGTCCATACGAAGAAATTGGAGGCGACTGATGTAAATTTAATTTATAAATTAGTGCCAGTGATATTTTTTATTATTAATACTTTGCGTCCTTTAAGGACTATTGCCTCTTTTTTTTATTTTCATAAAGTCACGTGCTTCGTTACTGCTGCTAGTAATGTTGACCTTATACACGCTTCTTACTCGTTTGATAGGCAGTGCGCAATCGAGGGCTTACCTTTTCGATAATATTTTTCGAATTTTCATTTTCGATTATCGATCACCAGACGTATCTTATGTATCATCTGATCAGATAGATCTTTGTTACGCGTATGTAAAGTGGAGAGCTGTGAATTTTTAAGAAATTCTATCGAATAGTGATTATCGGAATTTATTGACGATTTGGCTGTAATTTATACGGGATTCACATTGTTAAAATATATAGGATAGATCTATACGGTAAATGCGAATTTCATATTCTCAAAGGCAATAAATCTTATTTTTATGTTTACGTACGATTTCGAGAAAATTGATATGATTTTTCGTTTTCTCAATTAACGACTCTGTACATTTATTAATTCGGTGTACGATAACAGTACGCAATACTGTGTGCAAATTTTTGTCAAGAAAGCCAAGGATCGTTGTATGCGAATTTAAATGAGTAATGATAAGGAAATTTAGTATTTGATCAGGCGAAAAAGTTAGATCATACAGCTCGTACACACCTATCATTATATTATCCATCGACCTACAATAGGAAATGTCTGCTCTGCGTGTGCCTGGTCGTGATCGATTTTGAACGAACGAGACGAGCTAAAGCAAATTGACAATACGTCGAATGCAGTCAGTCGTTGCCCCTGGCTGAAACTACCCTTTCCAATAATTGAACTGTAGTCGAATTCGCTATGACGAATATTGCTAGTAAACTGAGTAAGTCAATACTCTAATTTATTGTTAGACTGAATAATGCAGATATTAAATAATCGTGCAAAGTATAGCAAGATGGTACCATTGATTATTCCTTAAGTAGGTATAATTTATTTTACATTATTATCATTTATAATTTTTACTACCCTGTCAAAAATCATGCGTCGTTCTTATCTAACATAAGTATCAGTTGTATTGTCATACTTTTGTACCTGGGGGTTGCATAGGTGATACCGTTTGCAAAAAAAATCTATATTATTTTATCAAAATAGTATCAACGAACGTCCGAACAGCCTGTACAGTTAGCAAGAGGCGACACGGGGAGGAATTTCTGATATTGCATACCAGAAACAGGAATGCCCCATAGCAACCCCCAGCGAACAGGAGGTTCTATATATATATACAGCTACATTCCGCACTTGTCCTCAATGCTTTCTAGATACCTGCCATTGCTTTCTATGTGTATTATATATACTATAGGTACTGAGCTATGATACTGTTTATTGATAATGTGTTTATAGATGAAAAACTATGGTACAATAATGAAAGTACGTAGAGAGAAAGATTTTTGTTTCTGAATATTAAGGGATGAATTTTGAAGATGTACCGTACATAACGACGAGATATCAAAATGATAAATCTTGTAAAATTTGAAATTTTAAAAAATTCATCCCTTCGTTATTCTCTGTACGTACTCGCACTCCTGCTGAAATGTATACTGCACATTGAGATAGGTCGTTCCACGTGGATTTAGTGCCTTCGTTAAGCTGTAAGCTTCATTCAATTTTCTCCAATTTGTGGCAATTTGTGCTTACAGCACCCGCGTGCTGGGAACGCCTCTCTACACGTTTCCACAATCGTATGGCTATATATAACGTTTTATACTGAAATTTCAAGCAGGTTCTTTTTTTGCTTTTAAAGAAAACAAAAATCGTTTGAGCACGAGTTTGAATATGTAGGAGATGGACTTTGGAAAATTCATTAAAGTCAGGAGAGACAGAGTTCGTGAGTAAATATTCAAAAATTTTCCTATTACGTGTATATCAATAGAAAAGTTGCTCTGTATATAATTTGACAACTATAATGATTGAAATTATATGTTTACAAAAATTCTTTCTTTTATCAATATCAAACACCAATTTAACTTCACAGACAGCTACTCGAGCAAAGAGCATAGAGATCAGAGAAATTACTTCTAGTCGAGAAAATTAGAGAAAATGACAAGGAAAAAATTTATTTCCACATAAAAAGTATCTTTGCAAGTATACTTATTCGGCAGACTGTACGTTACTGGCGTATATTACGTCTAATATATATCACGTGTACGCCGAAGTAATCAAACACTAGCCCAAGTACGATATATCTATACTTCATATATTTGGTTAAAATAAGAAGAAAAAAAAATCTTCAAAGACGCTCTTCTTTATATAACGTGTCGATCTATCATTTCTATAAGATTAATCTAACTTTCTTCTTTCTTCAATTCTTCAAAGACACTTTCCTTTATATAACGTGTCGATCGATCATTCCTATAAGGTTAATCTAACTTTAAGTATTATATATCCCAATTTTTTCAGTATAATACTAATATATCTTTACTTCGATCGTACACGTGCATAATATATCTATATATCAGCTGGCAACGAACTAACCTATAAATATTTCGTTAGCTTCAAACTGACCTGTAATTCCCTATGATTAGCGGTCAATGCTTTGTTACAAATGTACGCATGTATCGTTTGTATGCGTATCTTTCAAGTGCCATTCAGAAATTATTACGTTCTAGTGGGGTTAGGATATTAGCCTTGCGAGTGTGTACGTACGCTTTCATTAGACGTTACCTTCGAGCGTTTCAATTTGGCAGGAAATCACCCTCAACCTTGTTCACGGCTCTATAATATCTACTACCCACTTGCTGTGTCTAGTGCGCTTCACTTG